CACCATTTGCCTGCAAATTTCATGATTTCCTTGTTTTTAATTGCTGAGTAGTATTCCATTGTGTAAATGGACCACAATTTCTATATCCATTCCTCAACTGAGGGGCATCTGGGTTATTTCTAGCTTCTGGCTATTACAAATAAAGCTGCTACAAACATGGTTGAGCAAATGTCCTTGTTGTAAACTTGAGCATCCTTTATATATATGCCTAGAAGTGGTATAGCTGGGTCTTGAGGAAGCACTATTCCTAATTGTCTGAGAAAGCGCCAGATTGATTTCCAAAGTGGTTGTACAAGTTTACATTCCCACCAGCAGTGGAGGAAGGTTCCCCTTTCTCCACATCCTCACTTGAGTTTTTGATCTTAGCCATTCTGATGGGTGTAAGGTGAAATCTCAGGGTCATTTTGATTTGCATTTCCCTGATGACTAAGCCATTGAGCATTTCTTTAAGTGTTTCTCTGCCATTAGATATTCCTCTGTTGAGAATTCTCTGTTTAGCAATGTAACCCCATTTTTTAATTGGATTACTTGATTTGTTGCTGTTTAACTTCTTTAGTTCTTTATGTAGTCTAGATATTAGCCCTCTGTCAGATCTAGGGTTGCTTTCCCAATCTGTAGACAGTTGGTTTGTTCTGATAACAGTGATCTTTGCTTTACAGAAGCTTTTCAGTTTCATGAGGTCCCATTTATTGATTGTTGATCTTAGAGCCTGTGCTGTTGGTGTTCTGTTCAGGAAGTTGTCTCTTGTGCCAGTGAGTTCAAGGCTCTTCCTCACTTTTTCTTCTAACAGGTTTAGTGTGTCTGGTTATATGTTGAGGTCTTTGACCCACTTGGACTTTAGTTTTGTGCAGGATAAGTATGGATCTATTTGCATTTTTCTACATGTAGATATCCAGTTAGACCAGCACCATTTGTTGAAGATGCTATCTTTTTCCCATTGAATGGTTTTGGCATCTTTGTCAAAAATCAGGTGTCCATAAGTGTGTGGGTTTATTTCAGGGTCTTCTATTCGATTCCATTGATCCACCAGTCTGTTTCTATGCCAGTACCATGCAGTTTTTACTATTGTTGCTCTATAGTACAGCTTAAAATCAAGGATGGAGATATCTCCAGAAGATCTTTTATTGTACAGGACTGTTTTTAGCTATTCTTGATTTCTTGTTATTCCATATGAAGTTGAGAGTTTTTCTTTCAAGGTCTGTACAAACTCCCAGGCCTTCATAACCCCCTGGTTATAAGCCCTGAGTCAATACCTTCAGAAGGCCATGTACATTGTTGTTCCCTCATCATGCAGCTTTCCAAAACTGACCAGATGATAAAACTCATGGGCAAATACATTCCAGAATGCAAACTATTCATTCAAAATTCAGGAGCAGCTAAGGTTTTATTCTATCTTTTTTTTTTTTTTCTTTTTCTGGAGTATTTCACTGACACCATTCCCCCTTTCCATAATCTGCTCGAAGAACAATATACTGTTTGTTGAAATCTTATGCACGTGTCAGAAGGCTGGGTGTCGTGTCCTGAGTGCAAACACATGGATATGTGTTTAACTTTGCCTGTGCTAAACTGACAACAAAACACACCTGGTGTGCTGGAGGAAGGGCTGGAAGCAGCAACAGGGCTGGTGTCACAGGGATCAGGCACTCTGCTCTACACACTGAATGGACCACTAAATACACATACTCTGTGTTTCAAGTCCCAGTCTCACTCACCACCATGGAGGTATCGTAACCTAACATTAGAAGATCATGAGCTGCTCAGCTGAAATTTAAATTAAGGAGGTATCTTATATTTTAAAGCAGTGGTTCTCAACCTATAGGCCACCTTTTGTGGGGGGTTAAATGACCCTTTCACAGGGGTCACCTAAGACCATCCGCATATCAGATATTTATGTTATGAGTTATAACAGTAGCAAAATTACAGTTATGAAGTAGCAGTAAAAACGATTTTATAGTTGGTGATCACTACAACATGAGGAACTATAGTAAAGAGTCAGCATTAGGAAGGTTGAGAACCACTGTTTTAAAGTAGACTGTATGAAAGGAGAGGCAATAGAGAGAATTGTATTTAGTAAGCACTAAATATTGAGCTGGTTTGCAGGCTCTTAACCATATTTCTGCAATTTAAAATATTTTAATGTAAATATTTGTGTGTGTATGCACTCATGTGTGAGTGTTTATACATGTTTCTGTGTGTGTATGAAAGAGAAGGTGGGAGAGAGACAGAGAGAGAGAGAGAATAGATATAGGTGATGACTGCCTTAAAATTATCCTGCCTAGGCTATGTAGCCTATAATATAGATTTGGGAAGACAACAGCTTTTTGTCTAGAGGATGTTGAATACAAAACAGGAAAGTGGAGTGTTATTTATGCAAATGATTTCAGTAACTCTTTTATCTCCCACAAGCAGTTTTACAATTTTCTTTTATGAATAGAGTTTTCATCTAGATGATCCTCCACTGATGTGCGATTATGACTGATTTCTTCCTTTCCAATAAGCCTTTCCAGATGGAGAAAGCATCATGCACACAGCCTGGCATTTAGTATCTTTCATCTTTCTATTTTGAGTAGGACAGCAATCTTTGCCCCACCATTCCACTGAGCACCTGTTGGGCATAATGAGGATTATACTTCATTGTGAAGCTTGATGATGGAAATGTTATTTGAGCATTCTTAGACAATCTAGAAGTGTTCAAACTAGAGTATCAACTCTCAAACTGGAAATGAAAACAAGCTGAGTTATTCATGGATTTGGAGATGTCTACTATTAATCTAGAGAAACCCAGAATCCTGGAAACCATGCAGAGACACAGACAGGCTGGCAATTTTGATGTGACTCTAGGGCAGTTGGAAAGAAGTATTTGGTGTCATTCAGTTTTCAAGGAATTCTAGGCACTTCATCAATACCAGATAAACAAAAGTGGGGATCAAGGGTTCAGAAACCAGAGTGGCTCAAAGCCAGGTTAAGATCTCTTGCCTTACTATTACAGTTACTGGGTGGTTTCATACTTCTCTGTTAAAGTGTTCAAACTTTGTATTTCCTCATATTTTATCCTAAGTTTGGACCTGCCTGAATATAGGAATTCTGTGGTTGCAATTATCTTTTGTGAGTCAAGTTGGTCATATTATAGAAAAGGACCATGGGGCCAGGGAGATAACTCAGTGGGTAAAGGTGCTTGCTCCCAAATCTAGTGATCAAGGCTGACAACGCAGGTTCCATTCCTGGCCTTACATAGTGAAAGGGGAGAACCAACTGGGCAAGTTGTCCCCTGACTGCTTCATGTGGTCTTCATGCACAGGTGCATGTACACATAAGTAAAAATAACTGTAATAAAAAACAGAAATGAGAACAGAGACAGAAACTTTTAGACTGGCATGTACTTTGTCCAAAGCAATTTCCTTGAAACTAATAATTTATACCTCCCATTTAAGCTAGTAAGTATTCCACGAATCAGGACTGACTCAGGGTCAGCTAAAGTACTACCCTGAAACCATTTTTTTTTTTATTTTAAAGGCTCTTTGTGAATTTCACATCATACCCCCTCATCCTACTCATCTTCCCCTCCCTTGCAACCTCCCCAACAACAGAGGGGGAAGACGTCTCATTATGGAAGCTGTAGTGTGTTACAGTGTGTCCCACAGTATACCCCTTTGCCTACAGTTCTTTACTCTCAAATATTCATTGCAATTAACCATTGCTCTTGCACAAGCCCTCTGGATTCTGTTATTCTATTAATACTGGAATCTCACCGGGTCTCTTCTTGAATATCCTGTTGTTTTCCTGTGACATGGGACCCTATAGTTTTGGATCTGTAGGACCAGCCTCTTCATGCAGTCCAGCAGTCATCATTGATGTAGATATTGGGGTGGGCCAATTCAAAGGCCTGAATCTGGGCCTGAGAACTATCTGAGTTGGTCAGCTCACCAGTTTTCCAACTTTCCTACCCTCAGGGATGGCTCACCAGAAACTCCAGAGACCAGGGCCAGCTCTACCATGCTGCCCAAGCAAGGTTCAAGGCCATATTTCCCATGTATTGCAACAGATGAGGGACATGACCAGTTCTCCCACTCTCATGGTCCTGGGCCAGCTCTTCTGCTGGCCATAGATGGCAAGTGGCAAGGGAAGGAGGAGACTGTCTCTCACCATTGCCACCACACAGTAGACAAAAAGGCCAGCACTCTCATCTCCTGTGTCCCCACAATCAGGGTTAGCTTTACTGTGATGCCCATGAGAGGAGTGGGTCCTGTTCTCCAGAGTGCTGCAGATAGTGAGGGACAGGGCCAGCTCTCCTGCTCTCGTGAACTCAGAGCCAGGTCTCCCACTTGCCACAGGTGGTCAGGGGTGATGGGGGAGGAGAATCTCTCTTTCTCTCTCTCTCTTTCTCTCTCTTTTATCCACACCACTGCACAGGAGACAAGTTTAAGGCCAGCTCTCCCATTCTCGTGTCCTTGGGGCTAGCTCATCTGTAACTCCTTCAATGAATGGAGCACATTTCCCCTGAGTACTGCAGCTGGCTAAGGATGGGTCCAGCTCTCCCAAGATGCCCAGGCCAGTTCTGCTCAGCCTTCAGGATATTAACATGTCTCTGAGTGGCTGCAGAGACCAGGGATGTCTGCCTGGCCTTTGGTGAGTGACAGACCTTTGCTGCTACAGGGCCAAGGACACAGACCTGGCCCCCAGTGGCAGCACAAGCCAGGACTCCACCATGGTCCCAGGTGGCATCACTGGCTACTCACATCAGACTCACTACCTTTGAGTCTCCAGTTTGCCTCTCTTCATTGCGCCCCCAAGTCTTTCTCTTCTATTTTTCCACCACTTTACTTTCTCCTCTTAGTGGCTCCCAGGGACTGAGTCATCTCAGTGGTCTCAGGAGTACTATGCCCTGCTCATGAATCATGGGCCTTTGCTTCTCAGGACTAGTGGTTGTCTCAGGCTAGCTCCCTGTCTGGGCCCCCTGGTGCAGAACTGTTGGTCATCTTATGCTCATTTTTTTCCCATAGAATGTTAGGCTACTAATCATTCAGCTGTACATAGGTCAGAACACTGAACATAGGCATTGCCTCTCTCCTCTCTGCTGCCTCTTGATAGACATGTGACACCGCAGTCACACCTTCAGTGCCGCTAGGGGCAGAGCCTTGAACTTCTTAACCCCTATAATAATGTGACTCAACTTGATAGTAAATATCTCAGTCTGTCAGTCTCTCTCTTTCTCTGCACATGTATCTCTCCACATATAAAGAGTTCTGTGTGTCATTTTCTGTCCTTCTCCAAACATGTGTCTTTCTCTACCTATAAACATTTCTGTGGTTATGTATTTTGGAACAAAATGATCATTTATTTCACTGTCCTTAAAGTGAGCCCTGCCCTTTGACACCCTAAGGGCATATTTTCTGTCACTCTAATTGTGGATTAATAAATATATGCTTTTGTCTTACTTTTCCCAAAGGTCTTACTGAAGGGCACCAGAGAGGTCTTTGTTTCCTTGTGAGCATGTATTTAGTATTGACTAGTGATGGAATCATTTAAATAAATTTAATATCTAAAATTTTATAATTTGATCAACTTCTATGCTCATTCAAATACATTACTTCCATCTTTTTCATCAACTGTATAAAGGAAATGTTTTATTATTCTGATTAATATTACATTTTGCTGATTACAACTCTCTTTTTCTCTCTTTTTTTTTTTCAAGACAGAGTTCCTCTGTGTAGACCTGGCGGTCCTGGAACTCTCTCTGTAGACCAGGTTGGCCTCCAACTCAGAGATTCCCCTTCTCTCTGCCTCCCAAGTGCTGGGATTAAAGGCACGCACCACCACCTGGCAGCTCATAACCTATTTCTTAATTCCTTATTAATGATGATTGACATTTTAGACAGAAGTCTTTATTTTGAGGATATCACAGTTGAAGCTCTGACATATAGGTACTGAGTATTCCTTTTTGTATTTCATTTTTTCTTTCAGATAATACCCATCATGGGTCTTTTATATTATAGCTAGTGAGAAAAAAAATTCTAGGGCATAATAAAATGTGAGAATTATTAAGTACATTGTGGAAAATTATCTTGGGTCTCATCAAAGGTAATTTAGGAATAGTCTTGAACATCATTTTTAAAATCTGCCATTTCCTGGCTGTTCCACTTTGTGAATCGTTTAAAAATCAAAACCAGACAATCGGAATTCGAGTAAAATTATAGCATGCTGCCTTTGTTTTCTGGAGCAAACTGAAAACTTCCCTGTACTGTAAACATTCTTAGGAATAACCCATCATTCCCATCACTAAAGGTATTTGCTGCTCGAATATATGTGAAGAATGTAGAAGACAGAGACAGCACCTTTGACCCATAGATCCCTTTTAAGGAATAGCTAAGTCGGTGTAGTGATGTAACCGCCACCACAGTGAAGCAGATTCACGAAGGTGGGAAAATGCTATGGAGAAAAGCAGCTGATGAGCTTCAGTGAGCCTGCGGGTGGTCAGCTGCCACCCGTTGACACTTTACCTTCAGGATGTTCTTCTGACATATGCTTGCCAGGTATAAAGAAGTGATTCATCTTACTATTGGCATTTAAAACTCTAATTCTCCACGAAGGAGTTCTTGACATTAGTCTCAGTCATGGATCCTGGCAATGTCATCTCAAAAGCCTGGGAAATGTTGAGTTTCTATCTGTTTTCTGGCTTTGAATAGAGAAGTCTTACGTACTTTTATTCGGAAAGTCTCCCCCACCCAGGTCCCTGACCCTGAAAACAAAGGTCACTCCAAGTCCCTCCATCCTTTCCACCCCACTCTATCTAGTTATCCTTAGACATTCCAGAGTTCCTCCAACTCTCCCCTGAATCAAGTCTACCTCCCTCCCCTCGCTATTTTTGTGTTTATATTTCTAGCTATGGAGAGCACAGAGAAGCCATCATTTTGTTGAATTAGCATCAAATATTTTACTTTCTTTGTTAGTTTCATTTTTAAAGCTTTAGGTATGTATGTATGTATGTATGTATGTATGTATGTATGTATGTATTTAATCACTTTACATCCTGACCCCAGCCTCCTCCCTCTTCTCATTCCAGTCCCACTCTTATGATCAGTCCCCCATTTTTCCTTCTCCTTCTTCTTAAAGAAGAAGAGGCCCCCAAGGGCTACCAACCCACCCTGGCATCCCAAGTTTTAGCAGAACTAAGCACATCTTCCCCCACTGAGGCTTGACAAGGCAGCCCAGCTAGAGAAAAAGGGATCCAGAGGCAGGCAACAGAATCAGAGACAGCCCCTACTCCCATTGCTAAGGTACCCATATGTTGAAAAAGATCTTTTTAAGTAGCTCAGGCTGGCCTTGAATTCATGGTACTCCTTCTCCCTCAGCCTCCCAAGTTCTGACATTGCAGACATGTGCCATCATGCTTGATTTTACTTCTTTTGATGGACATCATGTTTATACTTTTTAAATGAGATATAAGGCAATGTTTTGGTGCATGTACTTACTGCTCAACGTTTATCTCAGGGCAATTAGCCTGTATGACATCTTAAATGTTGATCATTTCTTTGTGTGGAGAACATTATGTGGTATAGAATTCTCTAGAGTTGAGCATGTTTGTACTCTGCTGAGTCTTAAAACAGCAGGGCTAATTTCTCTCCACTGCACGCACTGGGGCACATTTGTCCACCTGTCTTGCTCGCTAGTCTCTGGTAATCACCGCTGTTTTCTCTTTTAGATCTCTCAAACATGAATGTGACCATGTAATTATGCAGTGTTTGTCTTTGGATGCCTGATGTTTTAGGGTTTCTAATGCTGAAATGAAACACCATGACCAAAAACCAAGTTGGAGAGGAGTTTATTTAGCTTGCACTTCCACATTGCTGTTCATCACCAAAAGAAGTCAGGATAGGAACTCAAACAAGCCAGGAACTTGAAGACATGAGCTGATGCAGAGGCCTTGGAGGAATGCTTGCTTCTGGTTTGCTTCCCCTGGTTTACCCTGATTTCTTATAAAACCCAGGACCACCAGCTCAGTGATGGTATCATCCATAATGGGCTGGGACCTTCTCTCACTGATCACTAATTGAGTAAAATGCCTTACAGCTGGACCTCATGGAGGAATTGCCTCAACAGAGGCTCCTTCCTCTCTGATGACTCCAGTTTGTGTTAAGTTGCCACAAAACCGGTCAGTACATCTGACTTATTTCATTTTATATAATGATCTTGAAGTCTGCTCATGTTTTCCCAAATGTCAGAGTTTCATAAATTTCAGTGGCTACATAGTATTGTATTGTATTGTAGACACGTACCCTAGTTCCTTTATCATCTTCTTGTTGATATTTAGATCAACATAGGTTGGGTCCATATCCTGACTGCTGTGAATCATTGGGGTGCAGGTGGATTTCTTCTATCCAGTGACTTTATTCCCCTTGGATCTATACCCTGAGTGGGATTGCCAGCTCATATAATCACTCTGTTTAGACTTATAAAAAAGTGTGTACAGTTTTTTGTAATGGCCTTAGTAGCTTACAGTGTTATCAACAATACGTAAGACTTTCCCTTTTGGGGGGCTGAGAAGATGGCTCAGTGCATAACGCACTTGTTGTTCAACAAGGAACTGAATTAGGACCTGAAGCACTCGTGCAGAAGTCAGAAGGGGTGGCTTACATCTGTAACCCCAGCGTTGGTGTGGGAGACAGGCAGACTGAGCGGCTCTCTGGCTGGTCATTCTAGCTAAAGTACTGAGCTTCAGGGGCAGTGAAAGACCCCTTTAAAAATATGATTTAGAGAGTGATAGAAAATAGGTCCTAGTTTGAACCCCTGGTCTCCACATAAACACATATAGGTGTATGCACACACAAAACCAAATGCAATCATACATGTACCTCACACAAACCACATAAACACTCCACACATGTACTCCACACATTCAAGTATGAGCACATACCACATACACATACTATACACACATGTACTACACACACACACACACACACACACACACACACACACACACACACTTCTCTTGCCATATCCTTCACAGCATTTGGTATCTTTGTCTCTTTGATAATAGCTGACCTGACTTGATTTTCTTTTCCTGGATAGTTTGTGATTTTCAGCATTTTTCTACATAAGAATTGGCTCTTTAAGCCAAACAAACAAATCAACCAACCAAACAAAAAACTGGTCCCCAGGGCCTCTGCAGAGACTGATAGTCCAACCAAGGATCATGCACACAGAGATTCTAAAACCCCTGCTCAGATGTAGCCCATAGACTCAGTCTCCAAGTTCCTTAGTAAGGGGAGCAGGGGCTGTTTCTGGCATGAATTCAGTGGCAGGCTCTCTGATCACCTTCTTCTGGCAAGTGCAGCCTTGCCAGGCCACAGAGGAAAAAAATGCAGCCAGTCCTGATGAGACCTGATAGGCTAGGAAGAGAAAGAGGACCTCTCCTATCAGTGGACTAGGGGAGGGGCACAGAAGAAGAGGGAGAGGGAGGTATTGGGAGGAGATTAGAGAGGGGGCCACAGCCAGGATACAAAGTGAATAAATTGTAATAAATAATTAATAAAATATAAAAAAGAATTGGCTCTTTATAGATCTTCTGAGAAATGCCCATTCAGACCAATAGACCAGTTGTAGACTGAATTTAATTTTTGCTCCTGAAATAAAATTTGTTCTAACCAACGAGGTATTAATTTCCTTGTGCTAAGGTGATTTCCATTATTTTGTATTCCCTTCTCCTTCAGTCACCCTCCACCGTCTGATAAAATGTTGAGTTGCACGTGACATCAAGTTTAAGCCCTTTTTACTAACCAGCTTCCTTCTTTCCCCTCCCACCACCATCCAAGCAGTGAAGCCCGTGTTTTAGCTCTCCTTCTGGAGTCATGCAAGGATCTTTCCTGTAAACTTAAGCTTTAGTTTCAAAACAGAGCAAGTTGTGAAGTCAGACTAAGCCAGATGCACAGGAGAGAAATGAAAAATCTGAGTGTTTGCCATGTCACCCAAACTCACGGTATAACCTAACCCCTTTGAAACTCATGATAAACAAAGTACTTTGTAGGGACAGTATATTTAAATTCAAACTACCAATGTGAGGATCAATTGAAAAAAATATGGACCCCACAGAGAGAGATGGTTCGCACCATGTGCTGGTTTGAACTGCCAAGGG